AGCAGAGGTCGCAGGCTGGTTAACTAGAGGTGATGGTTGGTTTGAAGTCCGAAGTCGAAGTGATTAAAACAAAATTTTCGCGGTCATTTATACGGCTGCTCAGCCTAATTACAGCACCAGCTGTTACCTGTTGACTTCGCGGAAAGCCACTTAATGTACGTCGTTAATCATCATGACCTGTCAAACCGAGTGGTAAAACCAATTAAAGTGGTAACAGGTGTTCCCACACTTAACGTGGAGAGGAACTTAATGGCTCGCATTAATCATCATGAACTGTCAAACTGAGTGAGAAAATCAATTAAAGTGGTAACAAGTGTTCCCACACTTAATGGTGGCTTTGCGGTTAACCACTCAGCTCTTTCGATTAATTACCATAACCCCTGCGGTGTTCGCTTCGGCGAACAACACATAAAGCCACGATGCATGACCAATTTAATAAGGCGGACCCTCATTTGATGGCCCCATGGCTGCAATCAATATAATACCCATAAATCTCCGGGCGGCGCGTGTCAAAAAAAAAACAAAAAAAAACAAAGGATTGCGGATCGATAAGTAACACGTGTTGCACGGCTGGTTAATGGATGTTCTATTTTTGTAACATTCGTTGTGTTGGAGAATGTAACCTGTTTTTTGTACACGTTCGTTGTGTTGGAGAATTTAAAGCAATATACAAAGAAATAAAATGAATTTCAAACAAATAAGCAAATTACGTAACTCGTTAATAAAAATTACAAAACAAAAAAATAATAATTTTAAAAAATTAAAAAAATTTAAAAATTTAAAAATTTAAAAATTTAAAAATTTAAAAATTTAAAAATTTAAAAAATTAAAATAAACAAAATAAACAAAATAAAATTACGTAACTACTCAATAAAAATAATTAAAAAGTAAACTATGTAATTAAATTAAAATTCAAACTAATTTTAAAATAAAATTTAAAAAAACTTATTAAAACTCATTAAAAAAATCATTAAAATTACGTAACTAGGTCAATGAATACGTCACAAGGTCACTAATTACGTCACAAGGTCAATGATTACGTCACAAGGTCAATGAATACGTCACAAGGTCAGTGATTACGTCACCAAAGGTGACCCACCCTCCGCTCCTCCGCCACCCTAGGGTGGGGGAGTATTTTACTATATCTCATTGCGCCAGGCTCACCCTTCACCCTCACCCTTCACCCTGCGCCAGGCTGGGAGTATTTTACTATATCTCATTGTACCAGGCTGCGCCACCCTCCACCTCCGCCAACCCCAGTTGGCGTAGTATTTTACTATATGTCTTTGCGCCTTCCCGCGCATCCGCCTCCCCCTGCGATGCGCCAGGCTGGGAGTATTTTGCTATATGTCATTGTACATCCGCCTCCCCCAGGCGGGGAGTATTTTGCTATATAGCCTTTGCGCCTGCGCCTTCGCTCCTCCGCCAAAAATAATAATCAAAAGTGACCTAATATACAACTATTGTCTTCATGTCTTTTTCCACGTGTCAACTGTGAATCGTATCGGTCAAGTAGAAGTGTCCGAATTTTCACTCCTGCGTTTCGGTCTAGACAGACTTACGACTGACGACTGACGACAGAGGAAGTGAGTTAAATAAAAGCTTGTAATAACAAAAAGTCTGTTATCGAAAAAATATAGAGATAACTACAGTGCAACTGATTTTGGTTCTAGGGTGTCGGTAATTGTCATAAATATACTTGAATATTAAATTGTGTGCTTGTAAATTCATTAGCAAAAGATTACTAGCTTACACAGTGGAGCCATACGGTAAGTAGGTTATTTTTAAAATTAAACTGTACTTTATCGAAAGCAACGACAATTGTATATACTCATTTAATAGCGAGTGTAGAAGAAGAAAATAAATATAACTTTACTTATCAAATGTAGATATAGTCAAGAGTTAATTGAAAACAATTGATTGTTAAAGCTTTAATAAAAAAAACAAATGTGATTTACACGTACGATGGCCATAGACGCGTATCTACAGGATACGTTTTGTAAGATACGCTTGCAATAGTAACAAATATACCACCATCAAGCAGTAATAAGCAACAATAGTAAATATAGTGTAAGTTGAAGATAATGAATGCACGCATGTTCCTAGCTTTAATATAATAAGTTGCTCATTAAAATAACAAAATAAAATTTAGCAGTAGCCTACATGTCAATTGTTAGTTAAAATAATAAAGCAAACTAGCACACTCAATAATGCAAAACCAATTCGCCTAACAGTTGAATCAGCCTCTACAAGGAAATCTACACGGAAGATTAAAACCAACATCGGCGAATAAGACTTAAGAGAGTGTATCTACGATTCCCTCCCGTTATATTTACCCCTTCTTTGCCTAACTCGTGGACAGTTTCTATATTTTAAGGAACAATGTACTTGATGTACATATGATCGTTGTTCCACGTTGCTACTGTTCCATAAGTCAGATGACTACTGGTAAATCGGCTTAAAATTGTTATAGAAAATGCCTGAAAATGGGGGGGGGGGGAATATTGCATAGGTGGTAACCAATATGGAAGTACATTATTAGGTTATATCTTTAGGATATATACAGACTTCATTTACTTTTACATATAACGCTGAGCTTTTTTTATATAAAATCAGAACTTGTTTTAGACCTCAGCATGACAACAGAAAGACTAGAATAATTATCATTAAAAAAGTTAAAAAAAACCCACGTTTTCTGAAGAACTAAAAAGTAGAAAATAAATGCTATACATCACAATAATGCAAGCGATCACTCTACTATAAGCGATGAAAAACGTGGGGCGCCGAAGTAAAAGTTATATTACTATTGATTAGCTAACACTATTGACTTTTATTAAGAAGCTTGTAGAGAGTCAACAGTATTAGCAAATGTAAGAAAATCACGGCGCCCCACGTTTTTCATCGCTTATAGTAGAGTGATCGTTTGCATTATTGTAATTTATAGCATTTATTTTCTACTTTTTAGTTCAATCAGAAAACGTGTTTTTTTAAAAACTTTTTTAATGATAATTATTTTCTATTTTTTAGTCTTTGTTTGTTTGCATTAAAATCTTGCTATCGATTTTATCTTTTCGCATTCACTTTTTTACTTTCTCGTATATACGAAGTATAGAGAAAAACTTGTAATCGTGCAACTAAAAAATCGAGATTTTTACAAATGTCGACGTTTTACACCTCACTGATACGGAAAAACATAATTATGCAATCTTGTCCGTGTGTCTTTGTGTCTGTCTGTGTGTGTATGTGTGTGTGTGTATGTGTCCGTGTGTAAACACGATAACTTGAGTACCGTTACAGCTAGGTTGATGAAATTTCATATATAAGTATTTTATCAAAATCGTAGATCCGTATCAGCTTTTGAGGGATTTCCGATAACCGGAAGTGGTACTTTTCCTACTTTGAATTTTTCAAAAGCCTATAACTTGAGTACTGTTTCAGACAGTTAAATGAAATTTCACATGTAAGTAAAAGATCTAATTCGTTACCTTCTGTTAAAATTTGAGTAATTTCCGTTGACCGAAAGTAGTAATTTACGCTACTTCCGATTTCTCAAAAAAACAAATGTAAATTTTTAATGTACTAATAATATTGCGCACTATTATGCACTTTTTTATTATTCACTTGGTGTGCAATTAATTTGTCTACGAGATTTTATTCTATTTTTAAAACTTTAAGTATTTAAAATGGATTAAAAATCATGTCTATAGCCCGAGTTCCCATCCCCTGTTATTTTATATAAGAATATTCGAGAAAGGTTAGGGGAGATCACTCCCGGTTTATTTTTTGGGTAAACGAAGACAACTCTTAAAAAACACGTGCCTTGAACCCGTGTCGAGTGGTTTAGCAATCGTGTGCCCAACCACTCGACCATATCGTCTCCCCCATACTGGCCACCAGTTGTTCCGGTTGTTTGTACACAAACACCGCGTGAACACTACTCAGTAAGCAAAAAGAGGGAGAGTACCGAACCTTGTTTTCATCAAATTACAATTACTGGGTTATGTCCCTTTTTCCCCCACGTTTTTTGTACAATTATATAGCGGTCTAAAATGATCAATAAAATGTTTCCATGGATCAATTTAGTAATAATAACAATTGAATATTCTATTGTCATCGGAAACAAAGCTTCCCTGAAAATTTCGGCGCGCTAGCTAACTGGGAAGTGCCCGAAATTTCGATCGCAAGATTTGATTGGAAAGACGCGAAAGCAAGTTAAAGAAAACTTGGGAAAAAAAGAAAACGGTAGGCATGTTACAGTTTTTATACTGGTGTAAACATAAACATTCACAATCCTATACAGCAATGTTACCACCAAAATAGAAAGAATACTAAAAAAACACAATTATAGGAGTCTGATATATAGACGAAGCATTATATTTAATCTTAGAGGCGGACTTGTTTTATTGATGTAGACTATATATGTGTATATATATATATATATATATATATATACACACACATATATATATATATATATATATATATATATATATATATATATATATATATATATATATATATATATATATATATATAACTTGTCGCAGGGATAAATACATTTCTGAGGATAGACCGGAGAAATCGCACCAAACTTGGTCGTCGGCGGACCCGCCTGATTTAGTTTAGTGAACGACTATAATTTTTATTCAACAATAGGCGTAATACATTTCTTTGTAATACTTAAATAATTTATCATTTTCATTATGATTTTTTTCTAACATTTATAAGAGATACTACAATCTGAGATGAATCATCTCAGGGAAGCATATTCTGATAGTAAGGCATTTTGTGAAAAACTCAACCAGGAAAAGGGTATAGAAAATTAATACATCATATAAAATAAACATTTGTGTTTGTTACTTTAAAAAACTTTTTCACATGTCTCACATGTATGCTACTATTTTACATTCTACTTCAGACACTCCTTAATTAAATTCTCACAAGTCTCTAATTTAAAATTTAATTACCAATTTACCTTGCAATTTTTTTTATTCTACCAGAAGTGCTACAAACTGAGCTTGACCATCTCAAAAAGGAATTTTCTGATAGAAAGGACTCATATGAAAAGCTCCACCAAGAAAAAGGCATTAACATCTCATATTTATAATATAATAAACATTAGTTTTGTGTTCTTCCTTAAAATTCTCACATGTATGAACTTTTTTTATCTGCTGTAGACATTTAAAAAATATTATTTTTTTAACAAGGTCAAATTTCTAGACACTATGCATCATTACTTCAAAATGTTAAACTATAGAATATATGTTATATTCTACTATTGATAATGTGTTTCCTAAAAATTCATATTGGTTTTATTGACTAAGTTTGTTTTTACAATTTTAACACATTTTACAAATTTCTACAAATTTAGTAAGTGTACAATTTAAAGCAGGTACATTTCAAACCAGTAAATATATATATTGATTGGTCGTTCATTCGCGGTCTTGTAACCAGATGTAACCCAGTGATCTTAGCCCCTATATTTATTCTAAAGAGCACAACACAAACGGAAAAGCAATTTTATCTTCTAAAACTAAACAAGACGACAAATGCCACTGAGATATTTTAAACGGTATCTTGGACGAACGTTCCACGACATCCCTTTATACCCAGGTAGTTCACGAGGGATGGTTTACTTTTACTTTGCAGAGGCTGATTAACATAATCCGAATAATTTTTTTTCTGGTACAATATGATTCTATTATTTTTAAAAAAAAACCTTAGCTTAGTGCAGTTTCGACCCCGAGTCGTATCAAGATAAAACACATGAGCACATGCAGAAACATTATTAAAGGTGCTAAATCATCAGAAAGCCCCTATAAACAGATCAAACGTTGCTGAATAAAACAATCTACTTATCAACACTTTATGTCAGGTTATTCACATTTATAGCTAAACTACCCACACCTCTGATATAATAATAGACAACAATATAAGACCATACCAAAGAACTAACCGCTGACCGCGGGTGAATACTTGCTGATATGAAAAAGACAATCATTTTGTTACTCAAAGTCGGAATACCCCAACTATAGAAACGTACAAAAATAAGCAAAAGCGAAAATATAGTTCATAGCATAAATGACATATTATGGTAACTTTTGGGTAGCAGCTTCAGTTAGAACGGAAAAGAGGGAAGCTTTACATGTTTAGTAGGTATAGTTAACATAAAGCTAATTATTTTATTTATTATGTTAATTGTTTTTTTTTTGTTAATTTCATTCCAAAGTCCATACATGTTTTGAAATTATAACCTCATATTAAATTTATTTAAAGAAATTAATTGTTTTTAATATATTAAATTTTGTTTGTATTTTATATATATATATATATATATATATATATATATATATATATATATATATATATATATATATATATATATATATATATATATATATATGTATAACACATTATTTATTTTAAATATTTACAGAATTCGAAGAAGCCAAAAATAAACAGATGTTGCTAGAAAATCAAACCCTTGAAAATAGCTTTAAAATAGGTACGTTTCTAACAAAGTAATTGCTTTTGTATGAAAAAACAAATCTTAACTTCGAATTTTACTTTTATTTACTTTCGATGAACATTATCATTTTTTCCCCTCACCCAATTTCTTTCCACATGTTCCTATCTCTGTCAACTTTTGTTTACAGTTCCATTCCAGCTCTTGTCAGCCGTCTTTCTGCTGTGCGCCCCACGTTTCATTGTCTTTCCCTGTCTTTTCCTTGCGACGTCCTATTCTGAGCTTTTGTGTAATTGTTAAGACGTCTAAAACTTAACACATGGACATTCTAACGTCACGACATCTTTTGAAAAAGATTTTAAATGGCTTAACTGTAAACGGTTTCAATTTTTATCTTGTTTCAACTATGTTAAACTATGTATTGATAAAAAAAGGCTAATTTAATAACTCACTATTTCTTTAACTTAAAACTAAGATACTAATACGCTGAAAGTTTTGTGTGTATTTTTCATTTAACTCGTATAATAAAGAACATTATCCTGACATCAGTTCAACTTCATGCATTAGAAATGTAAGCTTTGTGTGTGCCTCATATTTTAATGGTTTTGATTCTTATTTGAAGTTATACTGGAAAAATCAAATTTGGAAGAGAAATTAAAAGCCAGTCATCAATGTAAAAAAACAAATGCGTATTATGTTAATGTTTATAAATGTTTGACTGTTGTTATCACAGGGATTAATAATGTGCACACATTTTAAATAGCCTCGCGAAAGAAGTACATTGAATTCAATAGTACATACGTTTCTCTCTTATTGAAACATTTTTTTTAAACACACAGCTCGTCGTGCAGCAAATATAATGGTATCAAACATCAAAGAAGAATTAGGTAAAGTATGCAGAAATATTAAAGTAGTATATTTCGTTTCAATATTTTAAACATGTTTGTTAGAAATTTGAATGTATTTTTATACTTACATTTTTCATACATATTTTTAAAAATAGTTTTATTTTATTTCTAAAGGAAAAAATATAGAAAATAAAAATTATATTAACCCAAAAGTTTGAAGCATTTAGTTATGCTATATTTCAAATATATTTTAATATATAGTACCCCTAGTATTATCTTGTTCTATCTCCCAAAATATAGTTTTGAGAAAAACGCATCTTAAGTTTTATGGGGTCTGATTACCATTTTAAAATATTTTAACTCATTAATTTTTTTATTAAACGTTAAAGGGCATTAAACAATTAGCATTAAAACTGTTTTTATGACTTTATGTAGCAAAAGAAGCCCGAAATAATTTTTTTTTTTTTTACTTTTGAGATAGAACAAAATACTATCAACTAGATCAGGATAAGAAAATTGTATAATGTTGTAAGTCAATTTTTTTTACAGTTTTAATAGATTTCCAGATGTGTAATGCAATTTTTTATGAGTAATAATATACTCTTGTATGAGTAATATCTTCTTTTTTGTAAATCGGACTGTCCTTGGTCATTAATTTTCATTTTTTATCACCTCCATGGCAAAGTTTATATATTAGGGTACATCACATAACATGTAATGTTTTTACAGTTCTTTATAAGTGGGTCTGTGCATTAAAATGTAAAGTTTATTCTGTAACTTAGGGTTGTCTGCATATATAAACATAATTTGATTTAGTCAGTGGCGAGACTAGTCATGGTGACACTTGGTGTGGTAACTGATGGTGTGTCCCTCCACCCTCTTACAATTTTACATTTTTGGTTTTGTGTCACCCCTCTACCCTATAATTTTATTTTAAGTAACTGGATAAAGAATTATATTGACTGTCGATTTTAGTGTTTTTCATATTGGTGTCGCCCTTGTGAAACAACTGGAATCATAGTATTTATACAATAAATGCAAACCTTAGTTATGAGCTTAAAAATAATGTATTAATTTTACACAATATACACAGTTCCTAATGCAAAAAGAACCAATATTGTTATTGAATATTGCGAACATACATAAACACTGTTTTTTTCTCATAATGCTTCTGCGCAACTTGAATACAGACAGCGCCTCTACCCATATAATTGACACTGCATGTCCAGGTCTAACTATTTTTATTGTTCTCTTTCGCACTTCTCTGTGGATAGAAATAAATACAGACTACATCAGTACAAAGTGCAAAAACAGAAAGATTTATTTCCCCCACCCCCCTCTGCTACACTAGTATTAAACTGAAAACCAGGAATAAACTTATATTCATGGTTTTAAGACTAAAAAGTTACTAACAATAAATTACTTCACATTTTTATCTGCAACAAAGACATTGTTTTCATTATCCATATATTGGAACACCTCCTACAGATACTATACTACTAAACAATAGAATTAGTATAGGCGTTTCTATTAACAATAGTAGGCCTATTATCATTTAAGATATTTTTAACAAAGTTTGAACTAAATAAGTGTGAAATAATACAGTTAAGACAACATATATAAGATAAATACACTGACGATTAAAGATCTGGTAATTCAGTCAGTTTATTTGAATGACAACCAAAATCGACAAAAAGATGTTCACACGCCACCATTTTGATCAATGACGCACAAGTCACATGCCTTAAACATCTAATTTCTTTGGCAGAATCAGACATAGAATATTATAATTCTAGTGTGTCCAAGGGAAATTTATGCGTTAAATATATAATGTTAGAACAGAATCATATTATAAAATTGACATAGAACAAGATTATACTGGTCAAATGCATCAAATCGTAGTTAGAACAATGTCAAATTGAAAAGTTTGGTAGGAAGCAGATAACTTAGAGTTATATAGATAAGTGTAGATTGAATATTGTGCTTTTCTTCATCATAGGTTCGAGTTTTTCGAAAAAATCAAAATTTGTAGTTAATTATATATATATATATATATATATATATATATATATATATATATATATATATATATATATATATATATTTATATATATATATATATCCCATATTCTGCTAGCGTCCCACTTATGGGACGCTTGTAAATAAAATTGCCAATATTTACTAAAAAACAGTTAAAACAAAAATTGTTTCATTGTATTTGAAAATGGTTAGACTATTGAATGTGTGTGTGTTTTGTGAAAAAAATTAATTCCGAAAAATGTTATAGTGCCGGATTTGCAGGACTTGTCAAAATGGCGGAAAAAAGAAAACATGCGCACAGGAAAATGCATATCTTCTAAAATATTAACATTTTAAGTGCAAAATACATCTGAAACTTGTAGCAGTACCATATTTCTATCTGCTAAAAATTTTAGAATAACAATTTTTTTTTACTACTTCGTTATATCAAGTGTACAACAAGCGTCCTATAAGTGGGACGCTAGCAACGAATGGCCCCATGTAGATTGTTACACAAACGTCATATTTATTGGACACTAGCGAAAAACACAGATGCAAATGTTTATGTTAAATGGTTATTTATGGTAAAACAATTATTGACTTTGATAACTGATGACTTTGGGGTGTTAAGTAGTATTTATAGATATGTAATTATGACCTTGACCTATATTTAAGCAGATTGTTACACAAACGTCACATTTATTGGACACTAGTGAGAAACGCAGATGCAAATATTTATGTTAAATGGTTATTTATGGTGAAACAATGGTTGACTTTGTTAACTGTTGACTTTGGGGTGTTAAGTAGTATTTATAGATATTTAATTATGACCTTGACTTATATATACATATATTATTGTATAAAAAATTGCAAATATCGAAAAACGTACATTTTATTTGTGAGTTTTCAGAATTACACTTACTGAAGTATTTAATACCATTGAATACAAACTAATTTAGAACTGCTGTTAATGTAGTAGCGCGTGCTATTAAAATTATAACAAACCAGAATAATAACAATGGTCACGATTCAGGTGAAACGATTGAGTCATGGGGGTTGGTTAACACTCATCATATAAGTAAGAGAGCTCAAGCTACATATAGCAGAAATGTGAATTAGCTGTGTACAGTTGTCATGCCCCAGTAATATTCCCCTCCAAAGTTTCCCGATACCAGTTTCACTTTGTTAACTTTTAAAGGAGATTCCTGGTGTTAGATTGGGAGCTGTTCCCATAGTGAGTTGCATACGTGGATGAGAGCCATGAACACTCAATACAAGCCCCCAGAGATGGATCCGTGCCCTAGAAATAAGATATCTGATGTCCTAATGTAGGCCTGTGAGGTGGGGGGGGGGGGGAATAGCGAAGGTAACAAAAAAGAAGATGGCTGGATGACATCTGGGACTGGACCGGATCGTCTTTTGCAAATTCACTGAGGGCAGAGTTTCTTTCAGACATCATTTCGGAGGAGGGGGGGGGGGCTCTGCCCCCAGAACAAAATGGAATTTATATACAAAACATACTTTTACCAATGTCCACCCTTCCCCTGAAATTTAAGTACCCCCCCCCCCCCCACCTGAAAATTTCAAGTACGCCCCCAAAAAATCAATTATTTATATTTAATTATATAACAGTTTCGATGAATAAAACAATTTTTGTGATCATGTGTGTATAATTAGATGTACTAGTCACAGCTTTACTTATTTCCAAGTGTTGTTCACTTTGATGGATGCTAGATTGAAAGAAAACTAGACTTTTGAACATAATTTCTGCATTTTAGACCATGGTATGGCTAACCCAATTGATCATTATCAGTATTTTTTGCTGTCCTAAACAATTTAATCATTGGTCTAACAATACACAATCAGAATACAGCTTAATTTTCGCGTGATTAGCCATATTTCGTGATAAATGATTTTATTTTTAAATAAATGTACATGGGGCCGTTCGTTGCTAGCGTCCCATTTATGGGACGTTTTTTAAAAAATCGATATTTAAAAAAGTATTGATTTTTTAAAAAAAATCCATAGTCATTCCTTCATTCAGTGCCCAAAAGCTAAACCATATCAAACAATTATAAAAATTTGAGACCTTGGGATAATATGGGATATAATACTTAGTTAATCGTATTGATCAAGGAAAGTAGAGTTATTCAGGGCATGCAGAGTAGTCGAATATATGGCATTGTTATGTAGGGGTTATGCCGAATCCGACGCAACAAGGAACTGCGGCGGGGTAGTGAAGCAGGGATTAGAGGAGCGCACGGCGTCTGTGAAATTGAGTGGCAGTTGGAATAATAATTTGATATGTGATTTAAATTGTACTTTTTTAAAGCCGTAACCAGTGTGATCAGTTAACTAAATTATGTGATTCAATGTAACAAAATATTTCAACTTGCGTATTTACAAAGACTATCAAAAACTTATTATTTGCCATTGATTGGTCTTATTTTTGTTCATTTATTCAGCAACACCTGATCTTTACTCTATAAAAATGTTTCGGATACAGCGCATAATAGAGTATTATGAAAATTGTAAGTATTGTCTGTTGTTAGTTTTTGTATGGGTAAATTGACATTTTAGATAAAAACATTTTCACACATTCATAATTTCTTTATATTATTTTATTATTTAACAGTATTTATCTTGTGCAATATACATCATAAAAAATACTAAACTGGGCTGGCATTTTGGAAAGGAATAATGGCATTTTTATTGCATTCAATTGAAAAAATCGATTTCAGATACGAACATCTGACATACGTGTAATGTTAGGAAAATCGTATTTCGAGGAACAACTGAATCGCGGTGTGCCATTCAATGATCATAGAAATAGGTTTTAATCATTTTATAATTGTAATATTTTAACTTTTATGTTAAGAATAAAGACTAAGATTATTTAATTGTTTTTATGTGTATTTAAAACACATAATATTTAGTGGCTGAAAATCAACTCTTGCTATTTGTAGTTTTGTTTTTGAAAAGTGCTTATAGATTAGTAGCTCGGCATTATCATTTGAACATCTATCTTTGATAAAACTTGACTTGGAGCTTTATACGTTTATGTTACTTATCCTTCGCGGCTCCTTATAATCAGATATTAATATAAGCCATTTTCGTCAGCTCTATTAAATAAAAACCACTAGATATTTTTACTGCTTTAAAATATTCATTTATTATGCGAAGTTTTGTTAAAGCAAACTATTGACAGATTACAAAGAGAACCGCACAACTTAAGCATTAATCTGTATAAAGCTATTCTGGAATAGATACTAATAATTAAACTCCAAGTTTTCAAATTTTCTTTGTCAAAAACACGAGTACGAGTTCCATATATAGCTTTGAAAATTGTAAAGTCCTTAAGAAATCTCTAATGCTAATTAATTTCCCTATCATACAACTTGCGGAATATGTTACCTCCGGGAAGCTACATTGGTTTTAATAAATAAACAATTTAAAACAACTTAGCAATTTTATTGAATAATTAGGAATCTTAGCACGTCAATTTGTTTTATATTTAATAATATTTAAAATAGAATGAATAAAATCAATTATTTTATATTTTTCAGCTGAGTATGACCGTAAGTAATAGTTACCATTTTAATATTTTCTTTTATTTTTAGTAATTTCGTTTTCGAAAAGCTTTTGCAGGTCGCAGAGTTTAAAACAGGCATTAATCTTTGATAAAACTATATTGGAATTTACGTTCCTCAAGGAAACGTGAATGCTGATCAATATCCCTCTTATTTATATTCGACATACATAAATTAAAATAGTTACGTATAAACCAAAGTCATTGCGATTTACAGTAGACTGTAATGATCGTAATCAGAGTTTCTTCCAGGCAAATCTTCGGGGGGGCCGAACGAGATGGATTTTATATAGTAAACATATACTTTTACTAGTGTCCGCCCCCGAAAAATGTTGACGCCCCCCCCCCCCCCGAAAATGTCAAGTGCCCCCCGGAGAAAAAAGTCTGAAAGAAACACTGATCGTAATATCTAATTATGTTTAACTTCGTTAGATACCAATGAGCAAAGGAATTATGTATTTTATAAACCTATAGTCGCGGTAATTCCACTATGAATTATGTTTATATGTTTTAATGTAGCATTACGTTCGAAACAAAATAAAACCTTACGAATGACGCGCCTAGAGAAATGATGGCAACATAATTTTGTCTTAGTTTGTACCGACTTGTGATTGTAAAATGTGTCCCTTACGTTTGCAGTAACAGGATTTCGTACCTAGTGAGCAAAATAAAAATCTAACAAAATATGTGTGTTCACCTTAAATTAGACACCAAGAAGATTCCAGATTGTCTATTTTAACTTGAATTCGTTGTATTTCAAAAGGAAAGTCGTTTTCTCATTTACGGGCAGGTTAACCCCAAAAGTGAAAATTAGGTATTATGACGTTTTTGAGTGATAAGGAAGTTGTAACTAACATGGTATATGAAAAAATACAAACAATTCACTAAAAACTTATGGTTTTGTGAAAATATTTTCTAAAAAGTGTCTATTTCAGGCTAAAATAGCTCAAAAATGGCTCTCACTGAAATCAAAACAACACAGCTTCTGTTCGTCAAAATAACACCCATCTTTAACACAGTGTAATATATGCAAATACAAAAATATGTACTAAAACAATAAGGAAATAAAAAAAAATTGCTTTTAGCCAATTTTTTTAAAAACGTGAGACCTAATAAAAATCCAAAAAGTAGGGAGTAGATTTTGCTTTTTATTTTATTAAGTGTGAAGTTTCAAAGATATAGAAACTCTTTTAGTTCAACTTTACAAGCGATGTTTAGTAAACATGTGTGCAAAATTTTAGCTAAATATCTCAAGTAGTTTTTGAGGTATAGTAATTTAACTGGCACAATTGTGGGTCGGCAAGATCGAGTCGGTAAAGCTCATGGTTGCTAGACCAAAAAGTCTCGAGTTCGAACCATCGGGTAGATGAGGCTCGTTAGCTAGGGACAGCTACTCTTCTAGGAGAGACAACTTTAAAATAAAACAACTGCTGCCTTGTAGTTTGTTCTTGGTTGGACAAAGGCTATGGAAGCATATCCAAAAAGAAAAGCAGGCTGAAATCGGAGTCAATGGCCTTAATGGCGCATAACCAGTTGACACGTATCCTTAATTGTGATGGAGGCGTGGTCGAGTCGGCAAAAGCTCATAGTTGATACATTTGAAAAAGAGGCTCTCGAGTTCAAATCCTCTGGCAAATACGGTTCGATCCCTTCCAACACTAAAAATTAAGAACGAAGAAGAAGAAGAAGACTAGCACAATTTTGTTGAAAAGTAGCATCTTGAAAAAAAACCGCTAAATAGTGAAAAATAAACTAAATTTGAAAAAAAAGAGAAAAAGCGACAATTACACCAAAAAAGTCATTTAAAAACCTCCCAGTTACATAAATTGCACCTGGAGCCTCTTTCTCATCGTTTAGTTAGAACATCTATTTTAGTTAGTTTTTAATTTTTATGTTGCTAAATGTTGCTTAATATAGGTGAATTGCGTCATTACTCTCATTAATTAAAAAATTAGAAAAAATATTAGCAATACGTAATTTGGCAAAATAATTATACAAAAATGATCAAAATTAAATGTAGTTTTAGAAACAATAGATTTTGAAAAATCAACATTTCTTACTCAAATATTTTTTTTGGGGGGGGGGGGGGGGGGGTTAAACTATACACAAAGGCGTAACAGTCTTTTTCGATGCTAAAGACCAACTATCAACTTTGCGCCCCCTTTTCAAATAGATCTATATTTCAGTATTTTCGTAGGTGAAAATGCCCCCCCACCTCCCTCTTTGGAAAGATTGGGCGATTTTTACCATTCACTTGCCTTTTTATTTTGGTGTCACACAATTAATGTCATCATGTCATGTCATGTTTGCCTGTCATCCCTACTGGGACATAGGCCCCTGACAAGAACTTTCCAGACGTCTCTGCCCAGGGCTAGTCTCTCCAACTGTCACCATGTGTATCCGATCTTCTTGGTGTCTTCTTCCAGGCCATGCCTCCAGGTCTTTCTTGGTCTGCCTCTCTTCCTCCTGCCTTGTGGATTCCAGATGAGGGCCTGTCTTGTTATGCTGGATACAGGCTTCCTGAGTGTGTGGCCAATCCATTTCCATTTTCTCTGGAGGATCTCTACTAACTGGCAGTTGATTTGTCTGTTGCCATAGAACATCATTTCTGATGGTTTTAGGCCAGCGAATTCGCAGGATCTTTCTGAGGCATGCGTTTATAAATGACTGTATTTTCTTCTTATTTATAGCAGTTATTCTCCATGTCTCGGCTCCATAGAGTAAAACAGGTTTTACTAGTGTGTTGAAGATCCGGATTTTTATTCCAAGGGTTAAATCTCCAGAACCCCAAACATTTTTTAGTTGGTTGAAAACTGCTCTTGCCTTGCCCGTCCTTATTTTTATGTCTGCTTCTGTCCCACCCTGCTTATAAACAATACTTCAAAGGTAGGTGAAACTATCCACTTCTTCTAGGGCTTCTCCTGCCAGTGTTATAGGGTTGCTGTTTGATGCATTGACTACAATTAATGTAGAAAACAAATAAGTCCGTAATGTCAAGTAGCAGTCCACATTCTTTATTTCGACTGTATATAATTCGGTAATGAGCTCTTTATTTTATTACCTATCCCGTTTGGCGCCCTCCCCTAACCACGCCTCTGGCAATATAATATTTATTATAGATGGTTTAATTTCGAACATTTCAGATTATATCTAATTTTAATTTTTAATAGGGCTTGTAAGTCATGTTTTCTCTCAATTTGAATTAGAAACCTCGTTAGCCAGGGAGAGATTTAGATTTTCAGACTAAACTAAATGTTGGCACCCCAAGATCCTAAACAGAATTTGATATTAGAATTCTATTACACTATCTTGGATATGGGTATGCAGACTTTAAACGAGAGGTTCCAACAATTAGAACAACATAATATTCTGGTTAGCTTCCTTTATGATATATCCAATATCAACCAAAAGACACCTGCGGATATCTCTCAGACTGCAAACATTTAGAAACGTCGTTGACGCATAACGCAGGCCGTTAAGGGAGAGGGGGGAAAGCCGAATCCGACAAAACATTTTACTTTTTTGCTTGATAGACTTGTGGTTTTATACAAACAAAAACAAGAAAACAAATCGACTGCATCAGTGATTGTTCTACAGAAATTTACAACCACGCAGTTGCGTAGAGAAAAAAAGCAACAAAAATTGTAATCTGATATATATGCAAACTTTTAAGCCACTTATATGACTTATTGCTCTTCTTTAAATAGACGAAAAGTGGTGCCGATAAAGCTAATTAAAACAGTTGTGTACTAAGTGAATTAAAGCAAATTTCTTCTCTTAATAATTATTAAAAGTAAGTATCCTGACGAATGACTACGGTATAAAAAGGAATATATATATATATATATATATATATATATATATATATATATATATATATATATATATATATATATATATATATATATATATTTTGCGGTGGGGGGGGGGGGTGTCGGGGGGCGTTTTAATTATTTTTGCCTAGGGTGCTAAATAACCTGGCGCCGGCACTGAGTATGACTAAATTTGATTTTTTTTTACATATTTCAGATGTTAATGAAAAGTAAATTTTGTTGTTTAATCCTTTAATAAAGTATGGCGTAGGGAAATAAATAAACTGTTACGAATGACTACGTATTTATTATATAATTATAAATGTTAGTACGACCAAAATTGATTATTTAAATTTTAATTAGCCTTTTTTACTAAATGTAAGTACATTTTTAATCTAATTATCTTTAACCTCCCACATTTATTGTCTCGATTTTATATTTGAGCAAATTCCTAATGTCGTGCTATTGTCAACAGAAAAGATTTTGATCACTTTAATGTAGGGTTTTGTAAGAAACTAATCAAAGCCAGATGAATGTCTTGCCAAGAGTACTGCACGCTATAAAACCATGCCTTAACGTGTATCGACTCACATATTACCTTATATAAAACTAACTCACGAAATGGATCCAGTACAGTTTGCAATAACAAGGTTTTGTCACGAGAAAATAAAATAGACCCCCTTGTTAAGATTAACTTATTATGTTTTTCACATTAGATACAAAGAGAAACGGAATTATATACGCTATAAACATAAATTCTTGGTAATTCCATCAGAAAATATGTTTATAGCTTTAAAGTAGGATTAAGTTCGAAATAAAATACAATTTTACGAATGGCGCGCCTAGAGTAATGAGAGCAAAATAATCTTGTTTTCGTTATTACCGACTGACATTATAACTCATAAAATAGTAACGTGTAATATCGATATATATAGCCCATACAGTTTGCAGTAACATGATAATGTACAAAATAAAATGAAAACTCGTTTAGCAGAACCATTTGAGTGTATTCACATTAGATAACAAGAATTGAGTATTTATGTTTTGACAACTTACATTCGTGATATTTCCAGAAGAAAATTGTTTAATTCTTTAATGTAGGCCTAGTATTGCGGAGGGAGATAAAAAAAGATATAATTTAATAATTACAAATTTTAGCATTGTCAATGTATTTATTTACTCACA